AAAAGGGATCTCCCCTTGAGTGAATTGAGGTTATCGTGACAGACTTTACAAGGGATGAGTATGTCGGTGAGATTGCGAGGTGGTGTGGTTAGCAGATGTAGTAAATAATGCAGAACAAGTTTGGATTTTTTTTTTGGGGGGGGGGGTGTGTGCAAGTTGGAAGTTGGGCATCCAAGTTGGTCAAGGATGTGCAGAATGATGAGCAGAATGATGTACAGACGAAGGCGGTATCTAGGTACCTCATACGTGGAGTGGTCGTACAGGTGAGATTAGTCATTATGGTCTTACATAGCACGTTTGTAAAACCAGTTAGGTATGTACTTGATTTAAGCTTTCGCCACTCCTACTCTGGGCATAATGCAGTTCATTCGTTGATTCTTCCTGCTGTAAACCTTATCTTCCCAGAAAGAGCGCTGAAGTGGTTGCTCTTACTTACAATTTCCTATTCGTTTGCTTTTTTTTTTTTTTTTTTTTTTAGTAGGAGCGGGCAATAGCGATGCGCTAATAATTGCAGGCGCTAGCAATGGTCTAACGTTGATTTGATTCTCGCTTCGGCCCCCTGCGAGTGGATTGTACAATACGGGTTGTACGGGTATAACCGTCGTGCTAAACCCTTCACTCCTTCACCAACCAACCAATCAACCACATATGGTTTAATGCATCACATTATTCAGTCAGCATCACTACATGTAGCAAATAGTTTGACCTTATTATAGGCGAAAGCTGTGTATGTACTGCGCAAAAGCTATATACAGTTTGAATCTTCAGTACAAGGGTTTTTGATCCAGGACAAAAAAGAGCGTCTACGGTCTGAACAGCCAGTTTCCTTTATCCTTTATTTACAATCGGCCCGTGTCACTTAGCTCGCTTAGCCCATCTCGATAGACAAACAGAGCTGAGATTCACATCGTCCCACCAGCTGCACCACCAAGTCTGACGCAAATGCCACCATAGCCCATGCTAACCGCTTAGAACTGGGGCTTGGCGTTCTTGAGGAGCTCCTCGAAGTAGGGCTGGTTCCATTCACCGGCTTCGGGAGAGGGCTTGTAGGCATCGGGCTTTCCGCAGAAAGAGTCGTAACGAGTAGCACTCTCGTCGCTGGTACCGTCAGACTCACCACCGGGCTTACCCCAGACGAAGGCATCAGCCAGCTCGAGGCCAGTGTCAGCAGTCGGGCGGACACCGAAACCGGCACCCTTAACGTTGCACCAGTCACCCCACTCCTCACGGAGGCCAGTAACGGCGTTACGGCCAGTGTCGACGATGGCGTGCTCGGGGAAGCCAGCCGTCTTAAGGGCAGCCGAGAACTTGGTGACGTACGTCTTCTCGTTCTGGCACGAGTTGTACTTGGCGTCGGACTTGTCCGAGAACTCACCGGGCTCCTGGTCCCAAGAGTTCCAGCCAGCAATGTTGGTGGCGTAACCACGAACCTGCTTGGGGCTGCCGGCGGCCTTGTAAACCTTGGCAAGACCCTCAGCACCGGGCTTGAGGTTGGCGTCCCAGCCGAGCCAGCCACCGTGACCAGCGTCGACGTACATGACGACGTTGGGAAGGTTGAGGCTCTTAAGAGCGTAAGCGACACCCTCCTCGTACGAGGTCTTGCTCTCCTTGCAAGTGCTGAGGTCGCTGTTGGTGACCAAGTTGGGGAGAGAGTCGGGCTCAATCAGAAGAGCGAAAGCCGAGTTGGGGTTGGCCTTGATCTTGGCGACGATGGCTACGGTAAGGTTAGCTTGGGGTCCTCGTTCCAAATGGGTGCTAGCATCAACATACGGTCGATGTATTCGGTCTTGTATCGGTCGAGCTCGTTGTACTTGAGCTCACCGTTAGAAGCCTTGGCGGCACAGTCACGGCCGGGCAAGTCGTAGATGACAAGACCAAGGATATCCTCGCAAGGAAGGTCCGCGACGGCAGGGTCGAACTTGGCGATGTTGGCGATGTTGTCACTATATTCCTTGTTAGCTGCTAATGTCACTCTTACTAGCGTTTTCTCAGACTTACAGCCACAAGAAGCTACCGACGTCGGCAACCTTTTCGGCCGCAGACTTCAAGGACGCATCGGTCATCTGCCCAACAGCCTTCTTGACCTCCTCGCGGTAGAAGGTGTTAGCGTGCAGCTTGTACTTCTTGAACACGTTGGTGCTCGCGTCGAGGGTGACAGCCGAGGAGCAAGCAGCAGCAGCCTTGCTAGCTGAGCGAGGGGTGGTGTTTGAGGGCGCGGCAATAGCGCCGGCGGCCAAAGCCGCAACACTGGCAGTGGTGACCTTCATATTCGATTCGACCCGGATATAGCCTGTTGGGTTGTAATGAGCGAGTGCGGTAAGAAGGGAATCAAGAACATATTCGGGACGGGAATCTTGAGCTTCTTATACTAGCCATTGTGGCGGAGATGGCCACCCCAGGCCCTTAGATCCATACGAATCTCTACTCAATGTGCATGGAGTGGTAATCAGGAACTAGGCCCGTCAAACGCGAAAGATCTCGGTATGTCTACTCCGAATATAGACTCTATCGGTAAGCTCCTTCGTCGCGGGGAAAAATTGCGGGGTCTTGTTGGCCACCGTAAATACCACATGGCCAGACTGGATGACTCTCTGGTATTTTTTCCCCTACGGTGATCTTAATTCATCATCTGTATAACCATCCGTTCGGGCCTATTGAGGTTGGAGAAAGGGACTTGGAAGCCTCAATCTATAGTATAGATTCTTGTTCATGCAGCCTTGGTTAGTTCCCAGCTGGCTACTCAACTGTTTTCCAGCTCATTCAATTTTACATGGCAACCTTGAGATCCGTGGGGGCCGATGTGTGGAGCCATTTACTGCTCGAAAATGGTAAACTACAAGCATCACAAGAGAGCTCACCGGGATAGGTAATGCACGAAGTCACAGTGAACCTAACTTCGTTCGCGGCGACGTGTATAAACGGAGAGTGCCAAGATTTCTCCATATGGAGCGATCTGCAGCACGATAGATTGTTTCCCCATGGGAGATAATATGCAACGGGCAATGTCTAGGAAGTTAAGCCAAGAGAAGCAAGGTACCGTCCTACTAGCGACAGAGGCAGAAGCCTCTCCTGTTTGGCTAAAGTCCCTTCTTAGGTGAAACACACGCAATGATAGGTCTGCCCTGCGAAACAGAATAGGGCCCTCTCCCCATTTAGCCGCAAAGGAGGTAACGGGTTTCCATCCAGCGAATCAGAGGCCCCGGCTAAACATCCCAAATCTGCTCCAACTCCGTGATCAGACGTCACATCTCGGCATCCAATTGACGAGGGCCTTGGCTGCGTCGACGCAATTAGAAAATGCGAAAGTGGCGGCGTGTTGCCGCGTGAAAGGGCATTTCTGATCTGGTGAGCTGTCCCGGAACGTGATTCCGATGGGATTCCGTAACCAGAAAATGTGACTAAACCTGTTGTCGAACACATATCATAATCAACCCATTAAGCTTGCCACCTGGTAGGATCTGCCCGATGGGAGAACCCTGGGTGTCGGTCCTCGCGGTTCACCCAACCGCGCGCGAGATCTTTGTCATATCTAAAACTCCGTATACGTTGAAGATGGACGACGATCTCGCGACTAGCCCACGAGTATAGTTTTCTATGTAAACCCGTCAGCCGGCTAGTCGTCTTCCCATGCCTAAGTAGCCTCACGGGTACGACCTAAGATATGAGACGATCCAAGGCGGTTTGAGCCCATTTGTTTATGCCTACGTGAAGTGTTATTCTCGCAGCAAACGCCCTCAAAATAGTTTGACCAGCATCCAAATATCCCAACATAGTCCCCGCAATCCTAAATAACAACCGGAACTATGAACTCATGGAGGTCTTTGGAATATACTCCTCAACAACGATGCCATCGATTTATTCTACTTATCCAATTCCCTTCGGTTTCTTATACCGGGGCGGTGGTCATGAGACAAAGCCAATAAGTTCTAGAATTGAACTTCGAGCCGGAGTTATAGAAGCACGAAATAGCTATATTTCCCAGAAATTGAGCCGCCAGCTTATTACAAACGGAAACTGAAGCCTATAGTATTTTCATGAACAGTTTAAATAGGTTATATACCCCAAGTTCGCTCTCGCACTATTTCGTGGTCTCTATTGGCACATCAAGGGATCTAGCCGAGCCGAAAGAGGCGATCGGTATATACCAGATACATTGCAATTTGAAGGCTCTTGTATGCTGGAGCAAGGGGAAATATGCACAGGTAAGACAATATAAGAAGAGGCCGTGATTGGCCGAGTTATATGACCAAGTTATAAGGGGGCTAGAGGATAACGTGGCCTAAATTTTGAGGCGAAATAGTATCGCCCAACAACATGTGGCCGACAAAGTGGACGATACCTCGGGTTACAATTTCCTCAGTTTCCTCAGTTTATCAACCAAAAACTACTCAGGGGAGGTATATGATACGAATACTAACAGAGCTCCTGAAAACAGTAACTAGGCTTAAGTAACCAACAATAGGTTAGCCGAACTTTTCATACACTCGTAAACACATACTTGTAAGTTAAGGTCGTAATACTAATCAAGAGTTGGATTACGAGTCCTACATACCTACCTGTTATATCTCCAGGAGGGGAACCGTACCATTATAAAGCAGGGTTGTCGGAATATAAGTGGGTTAGGGGTAGATCCAGGGGGTGGATCTACTATATAAGAGGCGCTCAGCGCCCTCGCAAGAGGATAGAAGACAGGCGTTAATAGTTCAATTCTATCTTTACTGACCTTTACTTTATGTATGATGTTCATTTAGTATCCTTACTACTACATATCATCAAGATTTTCTAAGTGGTGCAATGTTGCCGGTAACACTATTTGTTAGGTCATCTATCAATACGTTTCTACTTGCCTAGGCTACGCATCTAATATATGCTACCCACAAAGGCCAAATCCACCCAGTCAAATCCAGTGGTGGTTTCTATGCCTCTCAACGCTAACCCTCATAATCAATACCGCTCTACTGTTCCCCGCCTTTTCCTGTGGCATGAAGTTTCCTGTTGGATTAGTTTAAAACCATAACACCGCCTTCTCCTCTGGAGTAAGCCTGGGCGATCCTCTTCCCAACTGATTCGCCACTCCAATATGCACCAGTGGCTGTTCCCAGGGCTACGAAAGGTGCCGTGTGTTCACCGGCCAGCCAGAGACCTCGGCTTGGAATGCCCTCTCTCATGGTTTTGATATCCACATCACCTTCCTCGAGACCTACTTGAAAATTGCTGTAACTGCCGTTGCCTGCAAGGTCATCGTTGAGCCACTGGGTTGCGTAGCAGCCTATCGGCTGACAGTCCGGAGAGTTTTCGTCATAATACGGGAGACGTGAATAATACGGCTTAAACCAACCAATTAGGAATGCGTCCTGCTTCTCCTTCGAGTGAAGTTTTGCCAGCTCGCTAGTGATGAATTTTGACTGATCACCGTAGAAATAATAAAGAAGGGTCGGGTGGGCCGCAGAGGGATCCAGAGAAGCCAATTCGACGAATTCTTGATTCCACTTGTGCGGATTCGACTCGGTCGCATAGCTTGGGGCAAGCATTTGGCAGAATCCCTGGACTTTACTATCCTTGGGCTGGGCAGAAACCCAGAAGGCTTTCGGGAAGCTGATATAGGTCTGCACAAAAGTCAAAATCAGATAAACACATCGTGTAGGTATACAATGAAGAATTACCTTCTCAAGACAGCCATATCCTATACTTTTGATAGCTTTGGCCAATCTTGAGGGAAGAGCTGGCTCAAAGGCATCAGAATGCTGTTTTAACCAGCCGAGCGGTGCAGTAAGAACAACTTCATCAAATTCCAGATTTTCACCGCTCTCGGTGTGGACTTTTAACATCCCACCGTCGTCGTTGGTAGTCTGTATTTTATTGACGATGGTCTCGTATTTGATCTTTGCTCCTTCAACAGCTGGCTTTGCGACAAGCTGGAGAATCTTCTCATAGGTACCTGCGACGAACAGATTCTCTGCAACCTGTCAGTACTTGCGAAGGGCTGTAGTAAAGTCGGATTTCTTTTGTCAGCTCACCGCCATCTATACACTCTTCCAACCAGAAGAACTTCAAGCTTTGCGAGAAAATGTGGCTTCCCACGAATGCTCCCCACTGGCCCGCAAGTTGGTACACAATATTTCTCTTCTTCTCGAAGTTTGCATCGCTGTCTGGTATCCTTTTGGGAACCTCCCTCTCGAAGAAATCCCAGAGACTTTCGTCAGGACTTATCGTGGCAGAATTCTTATTGCTATAGGCAAACGCATCTCCCACAACGTCCCACATAATCGTCGAGTAGACCATGGCATCGGACAGAGGGACCTGTTTGCCATCATCATCAAAGACGGAGCTTTTCTCTTCCCACTTTCCAACCACAGTCTTGGTTTCTTTGGCAAGGTCTAAGATGGGATTTTCGTTACTACCATGGATCCAATTGGGTCCAGAATCCACTTTGTGTCCCGATGGCAAGGTTGACTGGTGTACACGACCCCCTAGTCGATTTCGGCCTTCGATCAAAGTTACCTCGAAGCCATGCTGAAGGAGGATATCCGTGCAACGTAGCCCAGCCAAACCCGCACCAATGACCGCGACATGAGGCTTGCGGCCGGAACTCCGCGCTCGACGCTATTAAACGTGTGAGTCTAGTGTCAGGCGATTAGGGAACACTCATCTGAGTACTAGCACTATGAGGAGACTGGGCCGCATCTAGCCAATTTGATACATAATTATCACCGATGGGTGCCTCGCTCACATGATAAACCCAAGAGCTTCACTAGGGTCGGATTGTACCTCTCCTATCCTCTGCCCTAAGCTTGGTGTCTCCGAGAAGTCTTCGGTCATCTCTACGATGCTGTACTGGCGGCAGGACTTGAGGTCTCTCCAGACTCGTGAGAAGCTTCGTTGGGAAACGCTAGTGAAAGAGATCGAGTAAGCATCCATACTTGATTATGTCTTGGCTTATTTGTTCGCTTGAGGATCAATATATAATATCAAAGTAAAAGGAGTAGGGTAAGTTAATATAGGTAAAGTGTTTGAGTAAAATCTACCATGGAAGGATAAAAAAGGGGCTGAAAGATGTGAGCGGGCACTGCAGTTGTTGAGATAGAAGAATGGGTCAAAAACATGAAAGTAGTGGAGTTGTGGATAAAGTTATATAAGACAGGTACGTATATGATGATAGCTGCATGTGGATGAAGGATGGTCAAAAAAGAAGGCACCAACTAAGCAAAGCTAAAGCTACCACTGGGTGAGAATAGCTAAGATAGCTAAGGCAGTAAGTAGGTAGGGAGGTATGTAGGGAGGTGCCTCGCATGACTCGGCAATTGCCTAACCTAGCCTTTGATATCTTTGTATGAAATTATACGGCTGACGGGTGGTACAGCGATAGAACTAAATAAACCTAGACTAGCTTGGCACGATAGGATAAAGTCTATAGGGGGGGGAACGAATGCAAAGGTTATACCACAATTATCTAAGCTTCTACCACTCAGTTTGAGTTATGTAGTAGACGCAATACATGGTAGCTTAGCGCCGCATCCATTGAGACCGTAATACATATCTACCTACCTATTACTTATACACTTATACATGGTAAAGTAGGACAATGTATTGCGGTCTAATGGTACCAGCCTAGACATCATTGATTGGTAGACGTTCCTAACGTAGCAGAATGCTAAGAATACCACGCTGATAGACTGGTGTATGTGATTGGCTAGATGATTCCATCAAAGGACCATCCAGGTTCCAATTTAACTGTTTCTCTGCCGCTGTCGGGACTGTCGGAAAAAGGGAGCGAAAAGATGGGTAATGGAAGTTTGTAGGGTGGAGATGGGGATGGGGATGAAGGACGTTACAGCCCTAGGATGCTATTCTCCGGTTGGAAAGAGATATGAAAATCGACATACCGCGACAGGATTGGAAGAAACGCCTTGGTGGTTATCATCCAGCTACCGGGTAGTTAGTATGGTACGAACAAAAACTGCTTAAAGCTCGTGATGTTCTGCGAATCTAGTATGGAGAGTGTGAGTTTGCAGATACAAGTGAAGGATGTAGGTTAAGTAAGATCAATTGCAAACACATGTAAGTTTAGGTTAGGTACCTACCTACCTAACCTAGGTAGTTAATTGATAAGCATTTATCCTACATAATTGACAAAAGCGAGGCCGGACTTATCGGAGTATTTGTAAGAGCCAATCGGAACTTTTATTATTATCATAGGTCAGCTTTATCCGTTACACCAGCCCAGTACGAAGTACTCTAGGTTATACTCTACCAATGATAACATGGGCAGCTACTGCTACTTCACCTTATTAACAATCTTCCAACCTTCCAATCTTCCAATTTATAAACAATATTAAACAACTTCACTTCCACTGTGTCCAAAAATGTCAACCACACCACGCCACTCCGGAATATCAACCATACCAGAAGGCGAATGTACGGCCTTGGGTTGAGTGAATTCGTACAACGTCTCTATGCAATGCTCTCTGCCGTAGCCGGAATGCTTTACACCACCAAACGGTGTGCCCACCACGTTCCTATGATAGTTGTTTACCCAGACCTATGAAGTGGTTAGTCTCCTCACCGCTGTGTATTTTAAGAATATATCGCGCTATCCGCAACTTACCATTCCGGTTTCGACCGCGCGGACGTAGCGATTCGCCTTCACCTGATCCTTGGTAAAGACGATAGCAGTTAGGCCGTAGTCTACCGAGTTTGTGATGCGAACCGCATCGTCGAAAGTGTCGAATGGTGTAACGGTCACTATTTGACACATGTTAATTAGCCAACTAGGCAACTCGTACCGAGCACCTGGTTGAGTATGAACTTACCAATGGCACCGAACATCTCGTCGTTAGCGATCCGCATATCCTCAGTTACATCTGCAAAGAGAGTCGCAGGGATGAAGAAGCCGTCTTTACACTCGGGATCAGAAGGCAGCTCAGCCTGCGCAACGATTCTAGCACCCTCTTTCACTCCGAGGGCGATATAATCCAGCAGGCGCTGCTGTGCGACCTTAGATATCTGCGGCCCAACGTGCGTTGTGGGATCGAGACCATTGCCCATCCTGATCTTCTTCACACCGACGGCCAACTTCTCGACAAACTTGTCGTAGATGCCACGCTGCACGAGGATGCGCGAGCTTGCAGTGCATGCCTCGCCCTTATTAAAGAAGGCTCCTTCGAGCGCCGTGCGTACCGCAGCATCGAAATCTGCGTCTTCGAAAACTGTCATCGCGTTCTTACCCCCTAGCTCAAGCGCTACTGGCGTGATGGAATCAGCAGCAGTTCGTGCTACCGCTGCTCCAGCGGCTGTCGATCCTGTGAAGGTAACCCTTCTAACGAGTGGGTGCGCCACTAAGGCCTGCGGGATCTCGGGCCCGAACCCTGGTACGGCCAGGAGTACGTCTTTCGGCAAGATAGGCTCTAGGATCTCAACGATTCGAAGCACCGTCAGCGGCGCCTGCTCGCCTGGCTTTAGAATAAACGTGTTGCCCGCCGCAAGCGCAGGAGCCGGCTTGCTGCCCGCGAAGATAGGTGGCCAATTGAAGGGCAGAATGCCAACACACACGCCGTATGGCTCATGGATCACAGTTGTATATAGGGGGCCCCTATCGTAGAACGCGGAAGGCAACTTGTCGGCCAGGCTCCCGAAGAATCGGAATGCTCGCACGAGGACGCCGCAGTCGAATAGCTTGGCATCTAAGAAGGGCTTCCCGTTCTCCATGCATATCAGGGTGGAGAGTTCGTCTAGATGCTTCTCGAGCTCGTCGGCACAGCGGAGGAGATATGCCGACCGCTGGGCGTGAGTTAAAGGCCGCCAGCGCTTTTCGAAAGCTACCTGCGAGGCGCGCACGGTTGCGTCGATGGTGGTGGGGTCTCCGCCTTGGACTGTGGTGAGTACCTTGCCTGTGGCGGGATTCGTGACCGTAAAACGCCTGCTTGGATCATTGCTTGAGTAGCGATATACGGAAAGCTCGGGAAATTTTAGGGCTGCCATTGTCTGGTGTCTTAAGGTACTATGCTTTCAATGTAATCAATATAGTTGTAAATGCAATATTATATTCTTTCTCTTTCTACATCAAGTATATATACATCTCGACTCTTATTCCGCCTCTTCAATCTGATGAAGTATATTGCCTATTGAACATGCGCCGCGTCTCGCGTATTGTAATCTCCGCCCCCTTGCTGTAAAAGCTGCGTGCCTCTCCTTAGAGAATTTGGATTGCTGGAGTTAGCGGGAAAACTATTTGGTCTCATTGAGTGGTTCCGTCACTTATCTGCGGCGGATTTTAACTACTGTATGTTGATCTAAAGCCGAGCACGACTATATTCGTATCAACTGAATCAACACACCGGACTTAAAGGCCGTTTATAGTCGACAACACAGCGAAACCTTGCCTATTTAGAACGAGCCGGTAGTATAGGTTCGGCTTCTGCTATCTCCTAAAGTGCGAACTAGACATGGTTGGTTTAAAATTCAATTAACTATAGAGTATTTGATTGGTCTAAGTGGAGAGAGGGGTCTGTCTTATAGAGTTGAGAATCTTCTACCTCTAATTGACAACCTTTGAGAAAGATATTACACTTTGAAAAGTCCACTCTTATAGGTAGTTGCATTGGGAATACTCTATCTATGGTTACTAATCGCATCGGTACTATTCGTACGCCACGAACCGAAGTCCCCCGCAATAAACTTCGTTATCGCTCCAGGCACATGCAACGCCAGAGCCTTATCAGAGGCTACCCGCGGTCCAGCAGTTGCAAACGGTAGGGGCATGGTCGAAGTGACCAATCAGAAGTGATTAAATCTGGATTACGACGGATGCGCTTATGCACCCCATGTTCTTCACCTCAATCCGAGCCGAGGCATTGCTTTCCCCGGATCCACCACGCCGTCCCCCAAGCTGACGTCAAAACAAGGGACGAAGAGCTTTTCTTTTTCTTTTCAAAATGCTAATTCATTCTTGCTGAGATTGTATATATTGTCATTAGAGCTAGAAAATCGTGTCTCATAAGAGAAATATCGTCAATTAAGCTTCATTCCTTTTCAAGTGGAAGTTTCTTTCTATATCCACCGCTACCATGTCCAAGACATTCACCCTCGAAGAGGTGGCCAAGCATAACACCGAAGACTCGGTGTGGTTCGTGATCGACAGCAAAGTCTACGACGTAACCGACTTCGTCGACGCCCACCCCGGCGGCGAGTCCGTCCTCCGACAGGTTGCTGGCCAAGACGCCACCGTCGCCTTTTATAATCTACACCGTCATGAGGTCCTCACCAAGTACGAGGACCTATGCATTGGCACCATCGAGGGCCAGAAGCCTCAGGTCGTTACCCCCAAGCCCGGCGACATTAGCACCGTCCCCTACGCCGAGCCCTTATGGCTTACGCCCCAATTCAAGAGCCCGTACTACAACGAGAGCCACCACCGCCTACGCAAGGCCATGCGTATCTTCAGTGACACTTACATCACCCCCGAGGCCCAGGCCCGCGAGGCCGACGGCAAGTACATTAGCCAGGAGCTAGTCAACCGCATGGCGGAGAAGGGCATCCTGCACATGCGGCTGGGACCGGGAAAGCATCTGCACGGCGTAAACCTGATGGACGGAGCAGTCAAGGGCGAAGAATTCGACTACTTCCACGACCTAATCATGTCGCAAGAAGGCGTCCGATCCAACGCGCGCGGATTCCAAGACGGACAGCTAGCTGGCATGGTCATCGGACTCCCCTGCATCATGAACTTCATGCAAGACGCGAAGCGGCGCAAGGCCATTATGGACGAGGTGCTCAGCGGTAAGAAGTACATGTGTCTCGCCATCACCGAAGCTTTCGCCGGCTCCGACGTCGCTGGCCTGCGCACTACCGCTACCAAGACCCCCGACGGCAAGCACTACATCGTCAACGGCACCAAGAAGTGGATCACAAACGGTGTTTTCTGCGACTACTTCGTCGTCGGCGTTAAGACCGACAAGGGCCTGAGCGTGCTGCTGATCGAGCGCGGCGAGGGCGTCGAGACCAAGCCTATCAAGACTTCGTACTCGCCTTCTGCTGGTACCGCCTATATCACCTTCGACAACGTCAAGGTTCCTGCTGAGAACCTCCTCGGCGAGGAGAACAAGGGTATCTACGTTATCCTCAGCAACTTCAACCACGAGCGGTGGACGATGGCCTGTGAGTTCGCCCCTGAATTCTTATCTCGTCTCAAACTATACTAACAAGACCCCTTAGGTGCCGGAATCCGAACGTGCAGGACCATCGTAGAGGAATGTCTCAAGTGGTCTCACCAGCGCATCGTCTTCGGCAAGCGGCTGATCGAGCAACCCGTGATCCGACAAAAGCTCGCCAAGATGATTGCGCTCATCGAGTCGAACCGTACGTACCCTGCTCTCTTCCCCTCTCACATCTCACCTCACTAACCCCGTTCCAGAGGCCTGGCTCGAAACCATTACCTACCAAATGTGCAACATGCCATACAAGCAGCAAGCGCAGCACCTCGGCGGCCCCATCGGCCTGCTAAAGATGAGCATCACCCGCGCCTCGCACGAGATCGCCGACGAGTCCGTCCAGATCTTCGGTGGCCGCGGTCTGACTCAATCCGGCATGGGTCGCAACGTCGAGATGTTCCATCGCACCTACAAGTTCGACGCTATTCTAGGCGGCGCCGAGGAGGTCCTTGCCGACCTGGGTGTTCGCCAAGCTATGCGCCAGATGCCCAATGCCAAATTATAAGCCAACGAGTGGCATTTTATGGATTTGTTCGGGGGATCTAAATTCTGATTCCGTATCATTGAACATGGGCATTCTACAATTGTATATATACCTAATCAGCTACCCAGGCACGCATGTGATATTACTATGGAAAAGACATGGGATAGTGCTGTAGCATAAGCCGCGGCGTTAGGGTAAATTTAAATTAGTGAATTTAATTTTGAAGATAATTGAAGCGTGTCGTCTCACTGGCCTCAGAATGCATTAATTATTATGGTAGTATGGCGAGGCACTAGGCTACATATATATGTGTTCTGATTTTACACACAAGGGGTTTAAGAACGGGGTTTATATCCTTTTTCATACCGCGTTAGTCGCTTCACCTAGGTGAAGGATAAGTCCTCGAGCATAATAACAATGTCTCCCAAGAAAGGTCCAAAGAGGAGGTCCTTAAACCCAACCAAAACGCCATTATGAATGCCATCCTCAAGCACCCCCGGCTCATTAATTGGAAAAGTAAAATGCCCCCTTCTATTCCAGTAAACACTTGAGCCATTTCCAGGAGTAAATTCAAAAACCGCCCCTATACAGTTAATTTTATTTCCCACCCCAACGCTATCAAGGCTGGAAGCCCTGAGTCAGCATCTGATGTGTTAAGATCTGGCGGTTCATAAGTGGTTGACGACGACGTCCGCCATACGGCCTCGGAAGCTGAAGCTGGGGAGGATGGTGATGATGATGGTTCTGGCCACTATTACTACTGTTGGTTCCGTAGGGATTCGTTTGATTGATGTCCTTGGTCGTGCTGCCAAATGCAGGATCGTTGAAGTAACGAGCCGGGTCGCCCACGGTGGTACGTGGTTGATTGTGACGCTTGGTTGTGCCACATTCCTCACAGACAACCCAGACAACCCTTTCGGATGGGCTACACCCGTGTCGAATGGTTGTCCTGGTCGTCTTGTTGGTGTTCGAGGTGTCCTCGCTTTTACGCGATGACTGCGATGATACTGATGGAGCTGCTGTGTGTTGTCTTTCGCTGGTGACCGATGCAGCTAATGTATCAACGGGGGACCACCGTTTGCTTGGACGATTTCCGCTCTCATTTCGGGGGTTTCGAGGTGGGGTGGGCGGTTGGGGAGGAACTGAAATGCTCGGTTTCGGCTCATCATTACTATTATTATTCTCTAATGGTTCGTGTTCAGAATGACCTTGCCTTCCGATACGGATGAAAGGTACTAGAACGAGAGAAATCCCCGCAAACGCCGTGGTGGCCATGAAAGTATTGGTATATGCCAGTTCCGGGTAGGTATCCTGCCATTCTCTGTCATACGACGACCATATTGCAGTAGTAACTCCCATGCCAAGAGGAACTCCGAGGCGGCTTGTCGTTTGGAGTAGAGAAGCACCAACTGAGTGGTGTTTTAGTGGAAGAGACGATAAGATATAAAGCTTCAATTGCTGTTAGATATTATCCCTACGAGTTTTGGGACTGCATAACGGAGGTACTCACCGACCCAACATTCATGATCCAATCCATTCCAACAGTGCTTAACACGACTGACGGGAATATCCAGGTCAAGTAATTGCTTCCCTGTCGTAAAAATATGAGAAGCACATTGCTAATAACAAGGGAAGTAGCGGCTACTGCCAATAACACGGTCCCAGGGACTCTATGCATAATCAGACCAACGAGAGGACTGAGTACCAAGCCCACAAGAGCCTGAGGTACCAACCGTACGGCAACCTCGAATGGCTTCAGGCCCCCGAGATCTTGCATGAATAAAGAAACCCAAAACAGCTGAGAGTAGAAAGACATAGCGGCCGCCAAAGTGCAGATGATCACCTTCACGCCACATTAGTAATGTCTAATAGTTACCTTAGGTAGTTTCAGGTAGACTTTACCAAAGTTACCGTCAAGTTTTCCCAAATAGACGGGGGTATCATAGGTGTTTTCGTAATATTTTCCCAGAGGAGGAAACATCCAAGAGACAGTACACCCAAAGTTAGAAGCAGGATAACTGTCGGCGTCTTCCATGGCTCTGGGCCTTGCGGGCCAATGGACAACGCGATAGTGAAAAGCAGAAGACCCGTGACAAGTAGAAACAACCCTAGCCAGTCAAATTGCAAGAGTTTGGATTTCTCTTTGGGTGCCTCGATCGACAAGATGGGAAAAGCTTCCGGCTCGGCAATGATACGAACCTCGGTTTCCTTTTCGGGTTCGGGTTCTGAGACGTTCGGGACAAATACGCAAGCAAGACCCGAGACTGCCGCATACAGAGCAGCCAAGGCTATGAACGGGGCTTTCCAACTGATTTCAAGAGCCAAGGCGCCGGAGCCGAGACCGCCGATGATCGTCGCAGCAGGTGTGCCCATCAAGAACGAAGAAAATACTACATTCTTGCGGCGTGATGGCGTTGGGTAGACAAGGCTTAATATACCAACGGCAATAGGAACGTTCGCCGCACAAGCGATTCCAGTCAAGCCAGATATGATATCAAGCACAACCCCGGTTCGCGAGAAGGATGTGCATGAGACAAGCAGACAGAATACCACCAAGCTGAGTATGAGCAGGGTCTTCCGGGGTAGAATAGGGCAAGTATCGGCGATGTAGCCGAATGGAAGCAAGAACGCGCCCGTTGTCAAACTGCGAGCCAGTAAGTCAAATGCCTTAATAAATACGAGTTAGGAATCGAAATACCCCGAACTTGCCGTAGCCCACGCGATCTGCGCAGGTGTCATTTGCAGGGCCCCGGATATAGGACCTGCTACAACGACGACAGAACGCTGAAGGAAGACGGGTGTAGCTGCAGCAAAGGCGACCAGGGCAACAAACACGCATTCGTGGACGGCATTCTTGAGACATTCAGGCCGACTTCCCGCCGGCAGAGGGGTCTGAGCTTCTTTGTTGTCGTCATCCAGACAGATCTCGTGTAGGTCATCAGGGGACGCCGCCTGGGATTCGGGATCAAAACCCCAGGCGTGCTTTTCGAGAGACATTTCCAATGGTTTGAGGGGGGTATAACCAACAAAAAGGCCAGCGAGAGCAAGAAATTAAACCAAAGAGTGTGGCAACGAAAGAAAGCGCTTAAAACGAAAGAATTGAGGTTGGGGTGATTGTACAGAGTAGTATGAAGTAGAGTGTCATTGATAGAAGACGTCTTCTGGAGATAGTATGAGAGTAGATGTTTGCAGGTAAGACGTCGAAGCCCTGGGTATGACTTCCGCTCTCAATACATAGTAGACTTCAAGAGCAATTACACCCTTCTCTCTTCTCGTGAATACTCTCAATGTTGGTAAGCGAGGGTGGGATGAGATCTAGGTACGCGTATAAAGCAGCTTCCCTAGTTACAGCCGCTTCCTATGGTTTCGCAATCTCGTCCTGGAAAGACCGAGAGGACGCAGCTGTGTGACGTATGGCATTAACAGACTTTCGCTTCTCATAGAAATATTCCTAGGCCTGGACATACTACCTAGTATTTCCCTAGGTAGTTATATGTAGATCCAAATTCCTTGGACCAGTGACCCTGCTACTCGCATAGTTCAGCAAGAAAAAACCCTCGTTTCGACAATTCGTCCGATTAAAAAGCCACAAGGAATCAAAAATGGGGTTATTCACCCTCTTGAGTATCGTTACAGCTTCAGCTTTTGGCGTTGCGCTTGCGAGACCACCTGTCAAATTCCCAAAGTCACCATTCCCTAATATCACAGCCGCCTTCGCGGCCGGTATCGAGTGCTTTCCGTTCGAAGATCCGCATTGCTGCGTTGACAGGGCAGTCTGCCAGTGCATTAACGGTATGTTTCGAAGCCACTATGAAGTTGACTTCTTGACTAACATCAGAAGGGACCTTCTTCGGCGTGAATGTGATACAAACCAATTCAAGCTCTTCGCTCTGCTTGCCCCCGGGAAATGTAACTTATGGACAGGATATGGGAAATATCCCCGGGTTTTGCTGCTAGACAGGGGTAAGCTCTAGCATGGTTCGAGGAATAAGAATAATGGATGTTATAATGTGAGGATGACATTCTAGTAAAAGGATCGATAAAGGTTACTCGCCATCCTAGATTAGGACCTCTCAGTTTTCTTGGAATCACTGCTCTTTAGTTAGCTAAAATACCATATTTAAGCCCCCCTTTACGACAGCACTACAAGGGGCCTCAAAAACAACACCGTGAACGATAAACGCCGAGAAAATAGTGTTTACGCAAAGGTCCTTGGAATATTTCCTGTATGTGAGTAACTTAGACTTCATTCACATATAATACATGTATTATACACAGCGATCCTAGTTTTGGCCGTCTTCGATGCTAGAGAGCGTAACATCGCCTTTCCTGCGTAGGGCAACAAAATACATCTCAGACGATTCCTAAGCGACTTGTTAGCATCAAGAGCAAGGGTATCTTAGCCTTGGAGAATATACATCTCTTGACGCCTCCGGCTTTTCGCGATGGACCTTGTAGAACATTTTCTTGAGCTTCATCTCAAGATCTTTGTCTTCAGAACCTTGGTAGAATTTACAGACGAAATGACCGCCGGCCTTGAGCGTATCGCTTGCGAATTGTAGAGCTGCGTGGCAGAGGTCCTAAGAATATCGGTGAATACTCGCTCACGAAAGGCGCATGGCATCTAATGTAGGGAAGAATATAAACTCACCATGCTACCTGCGTGGTCTCGGAAGCGCATACCACTCGTGTTCATCATCCTGTACGCGTGGGTTAACGTGTTGATCGAAAATCCGGTGATTTGATCCCAGGGTTCTGACATGTCGCTTAAAACTACCTATTGATTGCAGAGTCAGTCTTATGGATTCAAATATACAGGAGTGAGTACGCTCCGAGCAAGCGGAACAATGCGTACATCAACAAGTCTCCTACCATCCCCGGAGGATAGTTCGTGATCCGATTCCAATGATTCGGCACGTTCGACATCGATATAGCTCGGTCTATCCATAAAAACACCTTCATCCTCTAACTCTTCATCATCAGGGTTGCGTGGTCTCGGATGTCGTTCATACTCGACGAGGTAGTCCTTTACAAGCTGTTGAACACGTGGAGAGAGGAAATCGCCTTGTATGGTAGACACGTATTTAGGCGGCTGCGCCGGGATGATATCGATTCCAATCACACGCCCCCTTGGCCTTGTGAATTCTACAGCGACCTAGACTCGGTAAGCAACGAAGAGTGGTGTAAAGTTTCGTTGCTTTCATACCTGAGACCAGCTGCCCGGTGCATATCCCTATTTTGTTTAGTATCCTAAGCTACAGGGTATCAAACTAGGTATACTTACTAGGTCAATTACTGTCTGTCCTCCTTTAAAAAATTTATACATTCTGTTCAACTGAGGACACTCATGTGAGCTTTAATCAATACACCTTGAGGGTTGAGCCACCAACTCACCTCAAGCAGTTTGAATGCAGCACGGCTCATGTATGCCTTAACTCTGGCCTCACGTCGCCAAGAGTCCCTCCCCTGCCGCTCTAACCATCTTGAGCTTGACGAGGACCATCGTATACACTTGGACACGGGTTGCGCAAGAAGACTCGACCCTCCAGAAGATCGAATAGCTAGAGCTGCTAAGAGCCTTCCATTGCGAGGCGTCGCTATTCTTGCCAACGCCTGCATTAACGCTATGAGTTTCAGGGAATAGCGATAGTGCGCTATCCCATGTCTGGTTGGCGACGATAATGATTCCGTACTCCGGGGATAACCTCGAAGGATGGATGCTGGGCCAGGATTTAACGGTGCTAAATTGCTAAATTGGAAAATTCGCCATCTACGGTATTCAATTATACGAAAACGAAAACGCGGATAACGGGTTAGTGCGATATCAAGTACTTTGTTAACAGATATATTCTCTTAACAGATACAACCCTCTTTTTGCATGTACTGAAATAGCAGAACAACATTGAAGCTACCTGCACTTACCTCCCTACCTCATAATCGTAAAAGTAGATATTTCAAATCTTCATTACGCACGAAGCTTTACAGATTCTATCTAGACGCCTAAGTAAAATCGTATATAATCCAAGCCATCCGATTTAAACTACATATATATATATATCTGAGCTAAGTGAGTGCCCAACGTACCTAAGGTATGGACATTCGTAGATTAACCCGCGGCTTTCAGCTCGCTATCCCGGATTCTCCAGCCACTTTACCAAACAAACAGACACTGGGCAATAAGAAGGATTCCGAAAAAAGCAGGGTTGTCCACAACTATATGTGGTTGGCTGCTTGAGTACCTCCAGGTAACTCCGAGGGTTGTGTCGCCTAGGGGGTTATATAACTGCAAGCCCACGCCTATAGCTTTTTTATTATTATACCTACCGTTCGCTTCTCTACCATACATAAACCGCATACCCCTACCATGGCGCGAATAAGCCAGCCTCCCCGTGGGCCTTCCAAGCCCGTCGTCCCCCAATCCCAGCGTCCGCTCAACGGGCTCTTCGTGCTCGCCTTCGCGGGCCTGTTCGTCCTATTCACGTGGCTGATGCGTGTGGAGACCGTCGTAAGTGGCGTGCCGGTAAACTTCAACGTCGTCCTGGAGGAGGGCCGTTTCGACAATGGCATCCCTGTCGAGACTAGCTACACGGGCATCAACGCTGTCGACGAGGTCGCCAAGTTCCTCGTCATTGCCTTCCTCGAGGGCACCGCGGGCTGGGATGCCGGTGTGCATGCCCAGCAGACGTATTTCTTGCTGGAATGGTTTGCCGTCGTGTGTGTCTGGGGCGTGGAGGCTAGTCGCAGACGGAATGCTTGGAAGGCTGTTAGTTTGTGAGTTGTTACCTATGGCATATTCCCCTTTGCTGTTTACTACCGTTGATGTGAGTGATGTATCGGACTTTACTAACGGAGATTGGGGTTAGTGTCGGGTTTACTGCGTTTCTATACCAGCTCATTGGCGCCGCCGTAATCGCGCCTCTGTATTACTTAGCATACGTGGTGGCATCTCGGCAGGATGGATACTACTTCCAGGGCCGAGAGTTATCCGCTGGCCATGCGGCGTCGCTGCTCCCGGCTCTTATCATTGGATACCTTATCCCGTCGGTCACCATGTGTTACCCGTGGGGCGACATCAGGACGGCGCAGTACCTGACGGCATTCTGGCAGCCCGCCCCTGTTTTCGCCAGCGTGCTAGTCTCGGTTTTCTCTTTTCTGGTACCTACATCGCCAACCTCAGTCGCTAAGAATGGTGATGTCAAGCACCTCAAGCGGGCGTACCTGATCGTCGGGCTTGTAACAACAGTTGTGCACGTTGGCATGCTTTACGCCTGCCTCACGTCGGACGACCCGAGGCTTTCGCTCAGCTATGTGTTCCTGCCGAATAGAACTACCTGGAAAGACAGCATGGGCTTGGGACTGCACTACATCTTCCAGATCGACTTCTTCGGTTCGTTCGGCTCCACGCTGTTCTGGTGCTGGCTTGCTGTTTACGATGTTCTGCGGATACTCGGCAAACCTACTACAATAGACTTAATCAAGATAGTACTAGGCATTGTATTTGTTACGGTTGTAGCTGGCCCGGGTACTGCCATCATTGCAGTTTGGAACTGGAGGGAGGATAGACTCGTCATGATCGAAAGCGGCGTTAAGGGAACTTGGAAGAAACCAAAGGCCGCGTAGATACGGGGTTATATATATTTATATCTTCTGAAAAATATGTCAACCATCGTGTCGGATTTGTAAATTAAGCAGCTTCTTAGTTCTTACAATCTATACTGCTATGTGTAATCTAGTTTCACGAAAATACATGTCACTACTCTCAATATAATGTTTCTCAGAGAAATGCAAAGACCTATTCTTAGAACAAGTATGCTAATATTGACCTAATGATGCAACCGTAAACCTATCCCTATAGCCTTTCCTAAACGCCAAGCCATGATGCGAACAATTTATAACGCCGGCAAATGCAGACTTGATTCCCTCCCGTTGCCTATTTGAAATTCCGTTACCCTAAACCTGGGGTCCGTATATCATGCCAGGAAACTAGCACCGACACCTCTACGATCCCTCTTCAAAGGTGAGAATGTGGTTGCACCGGCAAACGCACTTTTTTGCACACCGAGAACGGCTTTGCTTAGTGCCCTCTTTCCACCCAGCTGAACTTTGCTCGGCTTCCTGGCCGGCGGTGCCTCTCCATCCTCTTCATCAAATAGCGTCTTGATTGAGCCTAGGACCTTGCGCTTTTTCTTCTTCGGTAGATCGCCCTTCAAGTCGGCTGTCGTGCTCTCGTCCTGCGGGAGGCTAAAATTGAACTTAACAGTTGTTGTCTTCTCTGCAGGCTCCACGATATCGCGCTGGTTCTCTTGAGCCTTCTCATCAGATTCTTCAACTACTTTCTCAAGACTGCTCTTGGTCTTGACAGACTTCTTCGAAATAGGCTGTGCATTTTTCTTCGCGGATGGGGCTTCACCGAGAACCTTTTTAGGTCTACCGCGAGACTTAGAACTTGGCTTTGGCTTCTCACTTTCAGCAGGAGCTGGACAGATCGTTTCCTCCTGAGCCGCCTCTGCCGCTGTACCTTCAGACGCTACTGTCGTGGGTTCGGCAGCGTCAGGTTCAGTTGTAACGGCAACTGAAGCATTTGGCGTTCCTTCGTCAGTCTTAGGAGTATCTTCGATGATACTCTTAGTACGGTTTAAGAAAGGGGTAATGGAGAACATGGATTTCTCGCCTACAAGAGTGGGCTCTATGCCTCGCTTCTTGAACGCGCGCCGTCCTTTTGTGGTATCATCGGCTCCTGGTGTTTGGATTTCAATTTGGGTGAAATCATCCACAGCCATGTCTTGGGCTTTTCTCTTACGGAAAGCTTGTGATCGCCCGTTAACTTTGGTGGTGTCGTCTGAGATTGTGGGGGGTGATTGTTGTGCCTTTCGTAGGTCCGCTTGACATTGCTTGAGCTGTTCCTGAGTCTCGCGTAGTTTCGTCTTGAATTTTTCAACTTTCTTTTCTAGCTGGTCGCTTCGCGCACTAGCTTCGGACACTAATTCCTGACTCTCTCGGCGAATCCTGGCGCTCTCTTTCCGTTGAGACTCGAGATTCGCCTCAAGTTCCTCAACTTTGGAACGTAATTCATCCTCTACATCACTCCTTGAGTTGTTCTTCTGTGTCTTTTTCGCCGCATGCTTAGTAGTCTGCAGCTCCTCTTCCAGCCTTTCCCGATCGTCTTTCTCCTGCCTTAGTTGTCTCTGGACTTCCTGGAGTTTCTTTCGAAGGTCAGTTTCCAGCTCTCGAGTACTGTCTTGTTCCTGCAAGGACATTTTATGTGTCCGTTTTTCTTGCTCAAGTTGATCTTCAAGTCGCTCGCGCTCCGCCTTCTCAGCAGTCAATTTTTTCTCTGTTTCGCGTAGCTTTTGACGGAGTTCATCCTCAACCCGGTCGTTGCTTTCACGTTTCTGCATTACTCTCTTGGTTGCCTTCTTTTCATTCGCAAGTTCAACCTCAAGAGTAGTAACTTGCCGCTCCAGCGTCAACTTCTCAGCTAGCGTTGCTTGCTGGTGATTTACTTGCGATCGGAGGTGTTCGATCTCGGGTTTTAAAACAGCTAACTCGCGACTTAGAGATAATTTCTCAGCGAGCACATTGGCGGAATCTTGGGTCGCATTATTCATTGCTTGAAGCTCGGCCTACAGCGCAAAATTAGTATTGGACCAATCCCTTATTAGAATCCGTATTTCTTTACCTTCAAGCTCAAGTATTCTCGTTCTTGTTTCCGTAATTGCTTTTCCTGCGAGCGAATTACGTCCATTTTAGCTTCAATCTGAGCACTTAGGTCATTGCATTGGGCCGAGAGATTGGCGTTTGTATCGTTGTTATGAGCTATTTGATCACGTAATGTTGTGTTTTCGTCTCGTAGCATTAGTATTCGGACTCTCAACCGACGGACATCCTCGTCTTTGACCAAGAGTTCGGCATTGCCATTGTTTATTTGGTGCTTTAATTCAAGGTCATGAAGTTGTTCTTGCTCCTAATTGAAACAATAAAAGTCAGGAATAGTCAGAACAAAAGTCAAATAATTAATAGGGTTGAAGACCGAGATATATTTGAAGTTGGGGTGTTAGAATACCTTGTCAGCGTCCATGTTTACTTTTGCCTCGCGGCCCATTGTAGCTTTGGTGAGCCTGCCCATTCAGGTAGACGCGTTTTGGTCTTGAAAGAAAATCAAGTTTGAAGAATAGATTAAGTCAATGTCCTAGCAAGATCTAATCATTAATATCCTGGAGGATATATGTAGCACTGATGGGAGGGGTGTTTTATCTCGAATACAAAAGAGGAGGTGAGGTGACGGCACTACGTAGTGGAGGAGCAGAGGAGCAGAGGAGCAACGAAGGTGTTTGGTAGGCAACCTTGAAAGTTTCGGAAGTCAACAAAGTGCTGAAATAAGCTTAGTGTATGGGTCTACATCGGCCCGAACGAGTTGTGGAGCTCGTGTACATAGGTTTGTACATAGCATATGTACATAGGTATAACCTAAATAAAACAGTAATGCAGCTTTTGTATACGCGGCCCCTACATTCGATTACCTAACTCGTCCTTATCGATTCGCATTTGTTAGAGCAGAGCGTATGCACATTAGGTACCTTAGGTACGTATCTAGCTCTAAACTCCAATTGAGGACACCTTTTTTTGAACTCCAAAGCTGCTGGCGACTTAGCGCATCTGATAACATCGCCATTATTCCTCATCGTGAAGTGTGCATGAGCACAACATCCTCAAAAACAGACAGTCTCTCCTTTATGAGGCCCTCTTCAGAATATCGTCAACATGCGCTGGCTATCTCTCCTCCTCTCGGTCACCCTTCCTTTCGGGTCCCTCGCTGCCAAGCAATCATCCTCAGCCGATCGATTCAGTGAATTCCATGCTAAAGCTCAAGCTTCTTCCCCATTGAAGCTCGCTGACTCGTCCTACAAAAAGCTTACATCGGTTCCGCGGGACTATTCGGTTGCCGTACTCTTGACTGCTTTAGATGCGCGCTTTGGTTGTCAGCTATGCACAGACTTCCAACCTGAGTGGGAGGTGCTAGCAAAGAGTTGGACCAAGGGTGATAAAAATGGCGAATCTCGTTTGATTTTCGGTACTCTTGACTTCTCCAACGGAAGGGATACTTTTATATCCGTATGTGACCTTGCAACGACCATATGTAATTTCGGAGGCTAATCATTGTACAAATATAGCTTGGCCTTCAATCAGCACCCGTGCTTCTCTTTTTCCAGCCCACGACTGGTCCACATGCTGTCCCTACTGTCGAAGCTATTCGCTATGATTTCACTGGGTAGGTAACTCTGCTGATATATGACGATTTCGTTCTAAGATGTTTACAGACCTCAAACTGCCGAGAAAGTTCATGAATGGCTTGCCCGCCATCTCCCCGATCGTCCTCACCCGTCCGTGAGCCGGCCAATTAATTACATTGGTTGGATCGTAACAATCGTCAGTAGCCTAGGCGTTATTGGCGTTATTTTCAAAGCTTGGCCGTATATATTGCCCGTCATTCAGAATCGAAACGTCTGGGCAGGCCTGAGCTTGATCGGCATTCTTATGTTCACCAGTGGTCACATGTTCAACCAGATTCGAAAAGTACCATACGTCGCCGGCGATGGACGTGGCGGTATTAACTACTTCGCTGCTGGATTCCAAAGCCAATTTGGACTCGAGACACAAATTGTCGCATTCATATGTAAGTATTGCGGAGTATATTGACTTGTCATTGCTATCGACTTGCTAACATTACCAGACGGTGTATTGTCTTTTGCTACAATCTCCTTAGCTGTGAAAGCACCAAGGACTCGAGACCCGAAGATTCAGCAACTTACGGTTATTGTCTGGGGTGTTATTTTGGTCCTCATGTATAGCTTCCTACTTTCTGTCTTTCGGGTTAAGAATGGCGGTTATCCCATCAAGCTCCCACCATTCATGTAAAGACCCACGCAACAACACCTATGAATAATGACCAGGGGTTGTCGACTTAGTCTGGCAGAAAAGGAGATGACCATTACTATACATTATGAATCTGCCCGCCTAGTGCGTGTAAATTGTGGGATTTGTGAGGGAATCCTCAAAAGTTAAAGGTTCTGGACGGAAATGAAACGAATGAATACCTAACTAACGTTTATGTGATCACTGCGCCGTTTCAGACTAAAATTTCGGACAATCTCGTGGCCATTACGCATTCAAAATTGATGGGAGTGTGCTCGTTAAAGAATCAGAAACCGTAGGTTCCTCAACTAAGATATGAACGGGGGAGGCTTGAGCTACTTAATTGCCAAGAGGACCCTTAAGGCTCAGCTTTATTCAGCTTATCTTCAATAGTAGCTACCAAAGATAAAGGCAATTAGTATAAGTAGGTATATACACATAACTGTTCTTGTTGTAGCTCGTTCCTATATTAATATACACAAAATTGGTATATTTATAACTAGTTAAATATTTTACGGAATCATAGTTGGATAATGAGTAATTCGGTATCTTATAGATTGTGTAAGTCATTGATGCCTACTTTATGTAGTTTGAAGTTTAGACTTAGGTAGTGAAAGCAAGGCGAAACAGACGATACAAGCACGGTACAAATGACGAGTTTATTTAGGACATGTACTAGAATATTAAAGACGGGGTGGTCAGCTGCCTAATGCACCCCCACATCCAGTGGATAGCATTCTAGTAAGTCACATTGCAGCTGGGGGATATCAGGGGGGCATTGATACGTCGTGATTTAGCGCAATGGTGCTGTTATCGTGGTAATCGATAGTGAAATTGATAGGCATACTGAATAAAGCGGATCAAATGACACACTCTGCTGCGCGCTGCACCTCATCCTTGAGAGTGACTTAAAGTACCTAAGGTCTATTAGTACATATAGTACCTACTGCTAGTACCGTTTATAGGTGCCTGCTGCTACATTAGCTACATTAGGTACACCTTATGTCAGTGCTGCCAGTGCTGCCAGTACTTACACCATCCCCCTTCCCCATCAACTTCCACTCTACATCCCAGACCCAAACCAGATTAACAGTCACACCCTCAGCATATCTTTCTAGCTGCATCGTCGTTAGGACATGCCTCTCAAGAGTCATCATCATCCTAATAGATACAGTGCCCTCATCCTCTCATCTAAACATATCCCTATCTAATGGTTACTAGACCACGCCGTCAGTGCCGCTAACGATGAACTACCACCCCGCATCCCGAGTCGTGGGATATCGTGATACTCCATTTCAACACCCCCACACGCGATCTACGCGTCGGTGAAGGCCTCATCGGCCTCATCTTCTAGTATTAGCTCAATCTTCGTAGTTCCGACATCGTCAACCCTATTAACATGGCGTTCTTCAACTCCTTCTGGAGCTCTAACATGCCCAAGCGGCTGCTCCGATACACGCTATCGAAGCTAGATTACCTCGATACCGATGCCTTGGATATGGACAACCTAGACCTTGCCATGGGGAAGAACAACGTCTTCACATTGCAAAATGTCGGGATTAAGCTTCAGGCATGTCCCAATATTCCATATCGTAGCATTCTTAAAAGTTCTAGTATATAGAGCTAACATATTCAAATATAGAAATTAGAACAGTTACTGCAGCTTCCACCGTCGTTTGAGATCCAGAAAGCTAAGGTCCTATTGCTTCGAATTACCATACCTTCTGCTATATATGCGAATCCTATTACCGTCGAAATCGACGGTGTCGAGATAAAGCTAAGGCTTACTTCTCAAGATGATAGCCTTAAAAAGGCGCGGAAAGGTGCTGCGCATAGGAAAAAGGGCTCAGCATCATCTGAGGAAGGTGATCCTGTCCCGCATGCTATCGACCTAGCACAGTCGTTCTTGGAGACGCAGCCATCGAAAGATAAGGCGGAACTTCAAGCTGCGCTCCAAGCCGAAACTCAGGATCTTGGTGCTTCCATATTAAGTACTGAGGATGGAAGTGATGATGACTACTCGCTCGGAACTGGCCAACCTCTTTCCCTCCCCACGTTCCTCGCAGATTTCCTACAAGGTATACTTGATCGGCTACAGGTCTCCATTAAAGGCGTCACCTTCCACCTAGACGTCGAAGTTCCATCTGAACCCAATACACCCGTTTCCGAATTAGTTACTTTCCAGCTAGCGGTCGATGAAGTGAACGTAGAGGGGGTCACGACAGCAGCAGGTGAGACTACGAAGGAGGGGCAGTCTGAAATTGCCTATAAGGAAGGAAAGCGATACGTGGGTTTAAATAATATTCGAGCGAGCTTGATCTCCGAAGCGAACGTCTTCTCAATTCTGGCACGATCGCCATCGATACCCTCCTCTATCGCAACTGATTCACCGGCTGTCACTCAGCAGCAGAGTGTGTCTGAGGAATCTATTTTGAAGCCGGTGGCTACATCAGAATTACGCTCTAACACCGAGGACCTCGAACAAAGTGGGCATCGTCATCCGCTGATGGATTCCGAAGACGCTTTCAATATACCATATGACTTGAGCGGATCAAACGACGGGCATGATGAAGAATCAGCATCTGCGCCATCAACACCGCGAGCTCTTGCGCCCCAAATCTTACAAGAGGACGAGCCAAAATCGGTTTCTTCCATACACTCAGCTCGGCCATCTATTAATGCGCCACCGGACCATTGGTCTTCTTCGGCACGCATTGTACGGTCTGAACCAGCCCTAGAGCATCGAGGGAAATGGGGCCAGGATTCCATCGAGTCGTCAGGAAGCACTGAAGCCCGGCCCCATTATTCTGGTGAAAGTGATAAGATAGCTTCTTTAAGTGAAGACCTAGCCCAATCCCATCTATTCAGCCATGAGGAAGCCGAGAGCATGTATATGAGTGCCTTCTCCCAGGCTTCATCTTCTCAAGTGGGCCAGACTGTTCAAACTATGCCTGGCGGTTGGGATTCGGATTCCTCAAGCGCAGAAAACTCGCCAAACTTGAAGCGCAGGATCCGATCACCACCTTCACATTCCCTAGAACCTGCAAATCCCGCATCTCAACAGTCTCCCACAACCAGTCGCAATTTCCCGTCAAGAAAAGACTCATTAATAGAATCTGAGCTAGACCCTAACTCTATAGTCGACAACCTTGAGGAAGCAAAACAGTCATATGATGACCCGCAGTACCACCCAGAGGCGGAAGATGCTCCAGCGGAGGAGGTCGCAACACCGAAAAGGCCAAGATTAATCAAAGAGCTTGTTTCATTGAGTGCCATCTCACTTTACATTCCTTCAAGTCATCAACATGTACAGGTAACATATGCTGGCGAGGAACCTGTTTCCGGGGCGACCCGACGTCACTTCGACCGATCTATTTCTCCAAATCTCCCAGGAACTTTCTCTATCTATGCAGGTGATCAGTCAACAGCGTCAATAGCCTCGAGCATTGGCGTACAGCCCCCTAAAGCACCCTTAGATAAAACGTTAGAGGTGATAATATCATCCCTAGACATCCGTTCTGACCTTTCAACTGGGTTCTTGTTGTCTAAGGTAGTATCGCGGATACTTGCGGCTTTGAAAGAGCAGCCTCCAGCCCCCCCTTCTAAGCAGAAGGGAAATGCTGAAGGCAAAAATGAGACGTCGCTCACGCCTAACATAAAAATTATCACAGAACAGATTACTGTACACTTCCTAGAGAATCTAGCCGGAGTCACAGATACCCCTGGTCGATTGTTCAACCCTGACCCTGGTTCATTCAGCGCTGATGCTCTTCTTACTATGGCTATCGAGAACTTGAGCGTGGATCTTTCAGGCTCATCGACCTCAACTAAGACCTCAGTAGATGTAGGTAAGTTCAAGCTCGGGTATGGAAACGACGATATCATCTCCTTCGATCAACGCATACAAATGCGGGCCTCCGTGAATGATGCATTTCCTCCCGCCGGTGCCGATATATCCGTTAAACTTAGTCAATCACCCACAACGACAAAATGCGAGGTCACTACCCTGCCGCTTCATGTCAAAATAGACCTTCAGCGACTAGATGAGACGTTTAGTTGGTTCGGAGGCTTGAGTGGTTTCTTGAATATGAGTTCATCGATGACTTCAAGTTCTCCTCCTACTCCTCGGATTCCTGTAAAGCCGCCACCGAAAGCTCGTGGGGTAAGATTTGACGCGCCTATACGTCCAGATGACATATCCGCAAGCTCCGAGAATAAAATGAACATGAGACTTGGCGGTTTCCGTTTAGATATCGTCGGAAAGGAGTGTAGCGTATCCCTAGACACAACCGCTATAAAACTGGTTAGTCGAGAAGAAGGAATCGGTATTGGTATCTCCAAGATACACCTTGCAGGACCATACATGAGACGTTCCATGGGCGACCCTCCTATCAATGCCGTGGTTACGAATACTCGCCTCGAGTATCTCATGACACCAAAAGACAATGACCTAGAAAGACTCTTAGAGCTTATCATACCGTCCAAGTATAGATTCGACCAAAACGACGACGAAATCATGGTAGACACTCTACTTCGACAGAGGAGGAAAGGCGCTGTGTTACGCGTCAATGTGGATGGCATTGAAGTTAATGTCAGCAAGATCCAGCAACTCGAAGTATTACCTACACTAGGTGAAGAGATTGCGCGACTCTCCACTGTCGCTAAGTACTTACCCGAAGATGACCGGCCAGGTATACTCACTCTAGCTCTTGTCCGTAACCTAGATGTGACGGTGGATATTGGTAGGAAGTTTGGCTCTATACAAGCTTCTCTGAAGGACGCGGAAATTGGCCATATTACTATCCCGTCTTTGATCGCTCTCGGGGTAGGCTCTATTTCAATCATCCGGAACCACACCGAGGAATTGGTCGGCACAACCGCATCATCTTTCGATAAAGTAGGACACGGACCTATCTTGACCATGAGGGTGATTGGGGATGAGATGGAGCCTGTTGTCAAGATCAGAATGCGGAATATCAATATCGAGTATCGTGTGCCAACCATTATGGATATCCTCGGCCTTGCTGAAGATACCACTCCGCAAGATTTTGAGGCAAGTCTGGCAGCTTCAGTAGCAAACCTAGGCGAACACGCACATGCAGCTATCACCGGAAAGCCACAAAACCGCTTGCCAGCTCCAAACGAGAGCAAGGGTAAAGAGGGAAAGCCGACAAAAGTAGACTTCGTCTTCAGAGATTGTTTACTAGGCTTAAATCCACTCGGACTGAAGTCGAAGATGACGATTGTATTAACCGATGCTCACTTTGAAATCGCGTTGTCTAATGGGGATGATGCGAAAGCTCTAGGCCATCTGAATAAGGCATCTATTCTTCTTATCGATGACGTTTCGATACTGGAATCTAAGGACTCGGCATCGTCTAATCGACGACGTAGCTCAAACGCACCCTCTCCGCAAGTAGTAGAATTATGCCAACGGGGATATGTTGATATTTGCTATATCTCTTCGGCAAGGATCACGGTTCAAGTCGGCTCCAACCAAAAAAATGGAAATAAATGGATTGACGTTGAATTACGAGATGATCTCCTTGTCCTTGAGACATGTGCAGACTCTACCCAGACTCTCATTGCTCTTGCTAATGCACTTGCCCCTCCGACACCCCCCAGCAAAGAGATTAAATATAGAACAAAAGTTGTACCCGTCGAGGACCTACTCGCTTCTATATCTGCCGATGCGTTTGGTAAGGCCGAAGGCGACTATGATTTCGATAAAGACTTTGGTTTAGAACTTGACGAGACTGATAGCGATTTTGGCCTTGGAAATTCCGGTCAATCAAGTCCCCTCGCTGTCGACTCGCGCTTTTATGATGAATCTTCGGTCGAGGCCAAGCTTTTTGAGGCAACAGGCTCCATGATCTCGGATGAGATGGGAACACAAGATACAACCGACGGTGTTCTACTCACAAATTTCAGTAGCCAACCAGATATGATGGATGACGACGATGATCTGGTCATACATGAGAACTATTTTGGTTCAGGATCTGTGATACAAGGTACCGCTCACCGCTGGAACTCGGCAAAAAATGCATACGACGAAGCCAACGACGAGAAGATTCAACGTAGCCCTCTATCCGTCCGTGTACGTGACGTCCATGTCATATGGAACCTCTTTGACGGCTATGATTGGAGCCGTACTCGTGAAGTCATTTCAAAGGTTGTGCACAATATCGAGTCCACAGCAATCGAGCAGCAATCGCGTCACGATCGCGCTCGCACGAGCACCGATATGGAGCTAATAGAAGAAGAAACTGAGATCGGAGACTTTTTGTTCAACTCGATATATATAGGTATTCCTGCAAATCGAGATCCTCGGGAGCTTACACATGCCATCAATCAAGAGTTGAACGACGCCGCCACTGAGACCGAGTCAATTGCAACGACAGCGATGACTGCTACACCTAGCCGGCAGGGCAATGCCTATCGAAACAAAAGGAAGCTCAAACTTAATCGCAGCAAACGACATAAGATCACCTTCGAGTTGAAGGGTATTAACGTAGACCTAGTCACGTTCCCCCCCGGTTCTGGTGAGACGCAGAGCTCAATCGATGTTCGAATCCGAGATCTTGATGTTTTTGACCTCGTGCCGACGTCGACCTGGAAGAAGTTCGCAACTTACGATCAAGATGCCGGAGAACGGGAGATGGGTACCAGCATGGTCCACCTGGAAATATTGAACGTCAAACCAGTTGCAGATTTGGCGGCATCTGAGATTGTGCTGAAAGCTACAGTTCTACCACTCCGCCTCCATGTTGACCAGGATGCCTTAGATTTCATCACACGGTTCTTCGAGTTTAAGGACGATTCTACTCCAATTCACGCCTCGCCTAGCGATGTTCCCTTTGTACAAAGAGCCGAAATAAACTCGATACCCTTGAACCTTGACTTTAAACCAAAGCGTGTCGATTACGCAGGCCTACGATCGGGTCATACGACTGAATTCATGAATTTCCTAGTCTTGGATCAATCGCGGATGGTCTTAAGGCATACTATTATATACGGCGTTTTAGGGTTCGATAGACTCGGAAAGACGTTGAACGACATATGGATGCCTGATGTCAAAAGGACTCAGCTTCCCGGCGTGCTTGCCGGACTTGCGCCTGTCCGTTCTCTAGTCAACGTCGGAAGTGGATTTAAAGATCTCATCGAGGTACCAATTAGGGAGTACAAAAAAGACGGCAGGATAGTCCGCAGCATCAGCAAAGGAGCTATAGCCTTTGCCAAGACAACAGGTACGGAGATAGTTAAACTCGGAGCCAAGTTGGCTGTCGGTACGCAGTATGCTCTACAAGGTGCAGAGGGTATGCTAGTCAAACAGCCACAACCTCACCAGGTCGCGGGGTGGGATGACGAAGAAACAGACACGGAAGAACCCAAACAGATTAGCCTCTATGCCGATCAGCCAACGGGGGTTCTTCAAGGAATGAGGGGCGCATATGCGAGTCTAAGACGCGATCTCAATATGACGAGGGATGCGATCATAGCAGTCCCCGCCGAGGTGATGGAGAGCCAAAGCGCTCAAGGGGCGGCTAAGGCCATTCTCAGACGAGCGCCAACAATCGTTTTTAGACCCCTCATCGGCTCAAGTAAGGCGATCGGGCAGACTCTTATGGGAGCTACGAATGCATTGGACCCTCAGAATAGGAGAAGGGTAGAGGAGGTAAGCCTACTACAATACTTAGCCGTTGCTACGTTATCTTCTATGCTGACAAAGTTGCAGAAATACAAACGGTGATAGTGGTTTTCTGATTAATTGAGAACTAGCATTCTTTTTTTCGGCACGGAGTACGGATATATCACGGACTTCTTCTTTCTCTTTCCTTACGCGCAAATGTTTCATGGAAACGTTACGAATAATGCATCATAGACGGTCGGCCAAATTGACGTTGCACCTCTACGAGATTAGGTACCTAGCTAGGTTAGACTGTTGTTAAATTACTCATTGCCCGGGCTATGATTGATAGGTTCTTTGGGAGTTAGCATAGCATTAGTACATTTATATTGGTAATCTACCTGTTCTGAGAATTATCTGTATGGTCTATTACTACTGCTGAGTGTATAGGCTTGTGTAAATACTGGGCAGCATAATTTGGGTTGAGTTAATATACCTACAACATCACCTCTAAATATATTTTCCGCTTTAAATAATAATGATGATAATAGCTATACGACCGTCTCGTATCAGTCATGAGCCCTGAACCACTTTTTGATCCTCGAAAACCTGCGTCTCAACGTCTTCTTGAGTGGGGTTAGCTGAGGCTGAATCAGCTGCGATACCTTGCATCTCCAAGAAGAATACTTCGTATCCTCCAAGAGCGCCTGGACAGCATCCCAATACGACTGTCCATCATTCAAGGGTGCCATATCGAATGTGTGCTCCTTGACACGGTCAATAATACGTGAGCCTGCAATACCAAGCTGCTTGGGGTCGGCACCACTATCGAGAAGAAAAGCGATGAGTTCCACTCTTTGTTGCGAGTTAGTAGTATCCCGCTGGTTCGGTGCCTCAATACTGTTTTTTTGCAAGGGGAACAGATAAGTATATCCAAATATTGCACTCTCCAGGATCGATGGCTCGTTACTCCCTTGGTTCAATATTGAAGGGTTGAGCGCAACCTCTTCTCGTACATAGTCGGCAATGCAGAACTGAGCTGCTAAAATTAAATCAATATCGGTCCATGAGGTCACCATATTTAAAGCTTCTTTGATAAGAAAAGGTGACCATTTTGAGCTCTTGATCAGCCTTAGGTGAAATGCCCTATCGTTGCCAACTAGCTCCTCAACTATGTTGTGCACAAGCTCCCGATTCTGGCCGTACTTACTGATCCGAGAGGCGTACCATGCGAGAACATGGCACATATTATCATGCCGTGTTATGGGGAATTTATTATGTAACATTATAACTTCAATCTTGAGTAGGGTTGCATAGACATCGAAATCCCCAGGTCCACTAGCAGTAATATCACTCAAGCTTTCAACTACCCAGTCATGCGTTGTGCGATGTAAATAATCAATTACACCGACGCTTGAGACCTCAAGTAGGCCTTTCGTTCGACTGCTTACTTTTCGGCGCATTGAAACATTTATATGCTCTTTTTGCCGAGTCGTTAACGAATTCATATGCTTAGAGAATGCGTCTTGATTATCAGCTAACCAGAGCTCATTAACAGTAAATGTACCAATCGAGTGTTCTTTGAGTTGCAAGAAACGAGAGCAGTCTTGTATATGCTTGTGTAGGATGCTCAGGAATATTTTCAGATATAATCAGACAGGCTTTCTGGTAGTTGATCGATGATTATCTGAAGCTCATGTATAGAGCTGCAATCTGTGAGTGTTTCAAGCAGCGATCGGACTACTATAGATACCCGCAAGAAGACACCGTGAGCCCTGTCAGCGATAGAGTAAATTATGCGTTCCGATTCGGTCTCATGTGCTACTCTGAGTTCTTTGAAGCCAATGTGAGATTCAAAGTTGCTTCTTATGTAGTATTCGATATCCATTTTAGTCAAATCTTGAAGCCCAAGTTGAGGAGCATCACTAAAGTAGTCTAAAAAGACATTCCAAGGGCGGCTACTGGCGCAGATCTTCACTCTTCCTCTTCCATGTCGATGAATGGCATCAAGAAAGGCAAGAAGCTGTTGGTGGTCTCCGGAAAACTCGTCCAATCCATCAATAAACAAGGCTACCACGTAGTATTCCCCTGCCTCTGACGCGAGAATAGTGAATGCTTCCTGTAGTTCGGCTAGGGACCAAGGGGGGTGGGATAATTCCTGAGGGCTGTGGAATATTTTTTGGAAAGCCCACCTCTTGGGCGTAACACGGCGAACAAGTTCAGGAGCTTTTGACAAGCATTCACACAAGAGCGTTTTAAGGAGCCCTATGTGTGGTTTCTGCTCCGTCGTTCCAGCATTCCAAAAATAAAAACCTCCTAGCAGAAGCTTCCGTTTACCGGCCCAAGTATTAAGGTGCGTTTTTAACAACGGGTTGTTGAGGATGTATTTCAAAAGTGTTGACTTCCCCGAACCAGGCTTGCCAACGACCCAGTACATGGAATCAGAGTCGTCCTGAAGCCAAGTTGGAAAATTAGACCACATGGCTTTGCCCTGGGTGTCCACTCTAGGATCCTCAAATACCCATCGAAATGTCTGCTCATATGCCTTTGGGATCGCTTCTTCTCGGTCGGTTAAATTCTTAAATAGGAGGTTATTGAGTATGCTCTCACATATGTCTGAATCGCCCTTGTCTAGGGAAGCATCCGCTTGGTAGCTCGAACGTGGTGACCAAATCTTAGTCCAGGCAATGATCTGTTGATGGCTAATTTTTGACATTGCCATATTATCGTCTTTGGTTATATCAATGGGCTCTTGTCTGAAGTCTATTGTTGCCTTGTTAATGTGACTGAGCATCGTGAATATCTCATTTTGCTGCCCGATGAGATGGTGAATATCAGCTGAGGCCCGTTGCCCATCCTTCCACACACCGATCACGATAATCTCCATCATATTACTCCGAATATATGACAGCCGGCGAACCAAGTTATCAACTTTACCCTTCTTCCACAACTCTCTTAACACAACCTTGAGACTAGACTGTGCAATATCTAGCCTAGTCTGGCCAGTGGCTCGTAGTTTCTCGAGAGCTTTTTCGAGCTCGGTGCAGATATTACTACACTCTGTGCAGATCTGCGTGACACGAACCTTCGTATCATCCTCGATAGTAGAACTCAGGCTGTTTGCCTTGTTCGTAATATGGTTGATGTGATGCCGTAAGTCTTGTGCGATTCGTGAGAGCTCCACAGTCGTCGATGATTGACCTGTCGCAGATTTGTAGACCTCGATGGTATCAGCTAAAAGCCTAGTTGTGAAGTCGGTGAATTGAACGACCCCGGCGGCGAGAGAAAACGCGCTCAGAGGATCCATTTCCTTTTGTTTTTAGGGGGTTTTCTTTAGTGTTTGTTGGATATGAAAGTGGGAAGTATCTGTCCAAATTCTGTGGAGGTCTTAAAGGTGCGGCTGAGCCGTCAGAACGCCTGCTAGAAGGCCCATCACAGCCGACGAGGGGCAGTATATAATACTTTGGGCTGTATAGACTGTCCGGAGCGCTTAGATCCAATGACTGATTGGTATCGGTGTTTTCCCACATGGATATCTCCATTTAGAAGTAGGGGAGTACCACGGGGAGTACCACGAGAAGTACCACGGGTACCTAATTAAAGCTGTTAACAGCTATACATATCTAGCACCAGGACACATCATAGGCCCCCGTGTTAAATCCAAGCAAGTCGTATAAGTGGGAGGAGAAACGATGCCAAGATTTGTTTCCTATTGGATCTCTATAACAGTAGGGGCATAAATGAAGAGTGTAAAAGGACATATGGAAGGTGGAAGGTGTTTCAGCTAGAAGAATTAAGACATGGGAATAAACGATAGTGGCTAGAGGAAGGTAAGTCTAGAGGAAGGTAAGTTCCTTACCTGAAAGTTCTTAGATTGTGTTAGGCAAGAACCGGTCAAAAGGTCAACGTCACTTCCATAGTAGAAAGAGTCCTAACCTAGTGGGGTTACTATCCTGTTCCTATTTTATACTCTTATTATTATTGTTTTTTTAATCTTTAGTTAATTTATCGCCCAGGAATCAATACGAAGTTGATAAATAATCGAAGCCATCATCATCATCATCATCACCATCACATATAAAGTATATCTAAACTCAACAAGACAACCCCATTTCGTCAAACTCCTTCAACATAAGTTCATGCTTAATCTCCATCATATCCTCATACTCGTGGAATATATTCTCGATCAAGTCGTACCGCTCGTCGGAAGCGTTTTCGGGGAAAGCAGCTAGGATATCCTTCCACACCTCACAACCCTCGCCCATACTCTCAGCTCGCATATACTCAAACTCGGGCGGGTAGAACCCAGCAGAGCCCCACCTAGTAATGCAAATGTTGCCGTCCAGCCGCACCTTGATCGCCCACATGTCCAGCCGGCCGTGCGTGAAGACCGGCGCGTCGCCGGTAGACAGGCCCATGCAGAACTGCTTTTTGGCAGCCGCCCGCCTCTTCGTGTACCGCCTCGACAGGTCGTCGGGCTCGCCACGATACTCCGGTATGTACTCGTCGAAACGCGCGTTCCGCACCTCGGTCGCAGACCGGAACTGTTTGGAGCGCAGCGCCGGATCGTCGCCTACGGGGCCGTAGAAGCCGGCGTGCGGGATGCGCCGCAGCTGCGAGAGAGCGCAGCGGAGCTGCTCGGTGATGGAAGGGACCAGCGGTTTTAGGCGGTCTGCGTCGTTGCCGGCGTGTTCCCTGATGGTGTGTCCTGGGACGTATTCCGTGACCATAACAAAGCTCCGGATGCCCTGGTGCTCGTGCCAGTAGGCCGCGTATAAAGTCGGGATGGGGATCTTTGTATATTTACTTACAATGAGCATGTTTACGGCCTCGAGAGGGCCGGCCACTGGGTCGAGTCCATACCTGGCTACATAATGGTTACCGATGCGAACTCCTCTAAGAATATCGAGTGGATACTGGTCTTCCCGAAGGAATTCGGGATCAGGGAGAGGAGCAGGTAGCTGCTTCTCGGGAGTGAAATACGGCAGTTTGAGAATATTGAGAGAAGGCATTTTCGACAGAGACGATGATGAGTCGTACTGTGATCAATTAAGCAGTTGAAGAGTCAAATCGATATTAAGATGATGATGGGAGATTCTGGACACGGAAATTAATAGTTGAGATGCTGATTTATATATAAAACACTGCTGCAATATAGGTAATTACCTACCTATCTATCAAAATGATATATCATAACAGGTAGGTATGCATTCAGCTAGGTACTATGATTAAGTTATACTGAAAACAATCCGATTGTTTTGGCCATCTAAAAGCATGGTCTCCTTTTCAAAGGCAGAATAATAATAGGTTGTTCATATGGTATAATCGAGATTATGGCACGTTCTCTTTGCGGAATGCATTTTGAAAGGAGTAATACATTAATTCACACAATACTATATTGAAATTGTTAACCTCTTATCGATGTTTCATCGTTTTACAAGCCTAACGAGCACCGAGTAAGTAAGTGATAGGAAGTCATTCCCCTTCAGCACATTGCTACTAGTAGAACAAAGACGTGATAGCTTAACCCTTTCTAACTAGCTTATTTCATGGCCTACGGGATGGAATATGCCTACGTACCTATTCACTTACATATAGCTACTGAATCTACGATACAATCACAACGTAACATCCCGCCGTCACCATAGGACAACCACCATGAAATGGTACCTAGCCGGATTCAATAGTATCATATCGTCTTCACAGAAGTTCTGACCCCAGCACATAGATCACACCTTAACCCAAGTCCCCAAAACCTCACCTCAAAACAGCCCACTCACAAACCACACCCCAGCGCCCCTGTCCCGGGACCACGACCTCCCAATTCGGTCTGCCTACACCCACCACCGAGCCAGGCCGCGCCTCCAGCCCCCTTTCCAGCCCCACCAGCCTCTGACTCCCCGCAAGCACGACCCTCGCATTTCTCGCATCCCTTTCATCGGCCACGCTCGGCTCGCCATCCTCCCACACAACGTACCGCCCGGTAACCAGCGTCATGCCCGCTGACCCTTGTACCCCATCCACCAAGATCCGAGCAATCCACTCCCCCTCCCCGTCGCGCTTCTGCGCCGCGCCGGCCCATACGTCGACGAACCAGTCGCGCACCGAGGCCGCCAGGCCGCCGGGTATGTACTTCGCGCCCCGGCGGCGCGGCGAGAAGGCATCGGGGAGCGGATCCCCGTAGCGGATCCCGCCTTCCGGCGCTTCGATGGGTTTGAAACGTGGTGCTTTCTGGAAGGTGGGTTGCTGGGCGGAGGTAGAGGGTCTGGGAAGAGAGGGTTCTGGAGTATCGGAATCTGCCTGGTCATGAGTGGGCGAGGACGATGGTGGATACTCCAGCATGATGGTGTCCTCATTTTCGTTGTTGTCGTTATCATAATCGCAGTTACTGTCATTTTCATCATCGATCTCGTGCTGTGCAGAGTCGTGGGTATTACTGCTGAAGTCGGAAGAGGATATGGAAATGCGTCGGCGCTTGGAAGACCGGCTTGGTATATCTTCCTCGTCTTCGCTACTTTCGTCATGGGTGTCGCCGAATTCTCGCACCGGTGAGGACTCCGGCACAGCGTCGACGTCTGTGTCTACATCTACGTCTACGTCAAGAACTTCGATGGGATCGCGATGATTACCGCCACTACCGCCGCTCGGTTGCTGCTCTCCAGGGAAAGGTGGAGAGCTATCAAAGATATCGTTGATAGGATCAGTAGTGCGTGGAGTGGGCCGATAGTAAGTCCCGGCTCCGATCCTAGCGGAAGCGGAAGCGGAAGCGGGAGCGGGAGCGGGAGCGGGTGTGGGAATACTGGAAGACGGGCGAAGCGATGAGCCTTCGCCTCCTGCCCCCTGTCCTCTAGGTGTCGAATAAAGTGAGAACCGCGGCGTGGCATGGAACTGCTGTCCGCCGCTCTGGTATGGTTTAGGTGTCTCATTCCTAGACTGCGACCTCTTCGGCACTAGGAACCGATGCGGTGTGGGGGTCTAGTGTAGTTAGTAAATTACGATATAACCATCTACCTGGCTTAGAACCTACAGCCGGTGGTGGTGCCATGATCAATCAGACAAATAATTCGTCAATGAACCCTCAAGATATCCTCATTAATGTTACATTGGCGCAGCGTAGCGTAGCCCCTCTATACGAATGAGGGACCTAAGATTTTTAGACGGTAGGCTTTCCATTATTGATAGAAATTTGTCTCGGGTCTTTTGGGGTCAAATAATTCATGGAAGAATCGTATTGCTATTATACATTCATTGTACGGTTGGATTTCATATGAAAACTTAAGGGTTGTTTTAACGGCAACTTGTGATGATAGAATGAAGAATGAAGAATGAAGAAATGTGAGATTTAGGTACCGTAATGACGTAACGGTCAAACTTCGGCAAACGATACCGATTACCTGGTACCTATGCTTACCTAAGGTACCTAAATGTTAAGTCTCCCCCCTTTTCGGAGCTTCGTAACTAGGTACCTAAGGAATATAGCACAAAAAGGGGCATTCTTATGATTAACCATGTTAGATATATTTCACTAACATGACCTCCTAGGTTAAGTCAATATACGAAAGCACGTACGCATCGTCATACCAATCCGGTCACGCCTCTAACCTAACGAGCGATCCTAGACGCCAACGCCATGCAACCTATCCCTTAAAAAGCATCCCATGCAACACCCTATGAATGTAAGATCACTCTGCTTACTCGAATTTTCCACCACCGAACAATCCACCAACGACTTTACCCCTGCCCTCAACACCTTTCCACTTCTTCGCCTCGCGCCTCTTTTCGGCCTCTGCTACTGCAGCCCGACGCTCATTCTCTCGCGCAAAGTAGTTGATTCCAGAGCGCTTACCCGCCGTCTTCTTCAGGAGCTTACCATCATCTCCTCCCGCTAGACTAGCAGCAGCCGTAGGGGCACTACTACTACTCGTCGTGCTAGTCGAGGAATTTGAGATGAGCGAATTCGTTGTCGCTCGTCTCAGTAGCGCTGGTACCTTGAATAGACCACTGCTACCTGATGCTGATGGAGCCGCAAATGCGAGGCGTGATGAGCCCGCTGCACCGTTGCTAGTTGTAGATAAGGATGAAGAATCACGCTTGAGCTTGATGCGATCGACGACTGAGACTTCTGAGCGTCGGTTCTCTTTGTTAGATGAAGACGTAGTCGGACGCTCCTCGTCCTCACCGTCAGATCCTATTTCTGTGGCGGGGATGATCGACATGGCAGAACCGTTGGGTTCGTCAAGTAAGTCAGATAATTCCCTGCGGACATCGGTGATTGATGAGGGACGAACGCCTCCTCTAGTGCGTCGCGCGTTCGGGGGCGGGCGTGCTACGTGATCATCCGCGTGCGTGCGCTTGCGATCCCCGTTCGTAGGTTGACTGTTCGGGATCGATTGTTCTGCTGCTGACACATCCTGCCCCTGGCTGTGACTTTGACTATCGCTATCTGCGCTGTCGGGAGCTCCATCTGCAAAGTTCTCAGCGAAATCCCACTCGTCGTCGCTGTTCCTGTCCTCTATGCTCTTGAGGAACGCTGCGTTGCGCGGGTTTTCAGCGATCTTTCCGATACGCTCGTCTGCAAATAGGGCCTTCTGCATCTTGGCAAACTGTCGCCGCTTCATACGACGCCGAGCCTCGCCCCCATCATCAGAATCCGATAGATCGAAGTCGTTATTGTCACCGCCACGGCGCCGCTTGCGTAGCATACCGGTTGTGATATCTCGGAACAGTTTGTCGACCTGGGCTGCATCGGCTGCTCGTTCTCGATCACTATAGTATCGTTAGCATTTTTTCTATTGCCTATCGGAAAGTATTACTTACGCAAAGAAACCAGCTAGCTTAGTAGCGTCAGCATCGTTGCTAGTAACGTCGTCTATCATTTCTTTGACGAGCTCCTCATCCTCTTCGCTCGAGTCTTCACCGTCGGCCCCACCAAGTCCGGCATACTCATCCTCAGATTCCTCAGCTTGCTCCTCAACCATCTCATTGGCCTTGCTCTTTTTCCTGTCAAACTTCTCTTGCATGCGCTTCTTCCTCCTAGCTGCCTTTTCCATTAATCTGAACGCACTCGCATCTACCTTGGCGTCTATAGGTAGGGCGCTAAGGGCAGCGCTAGGACTCGCAGGAATATTTGTCGTTGACGTTAAGGTAGAAATTGAGGCTATACTATCGCCCCTTCGTCTTAACTTACCCCTCCTAACAAGAGGAGACTCTTGGATTTTTTCGAATTCAGGGGTCCCACCTAATAATACGGTGTCGACTGTAGATCCTGGCGCGTCAACAAACCGTTGCTTGAGCGGAGAGAAGTCCTCGAAGCCCCCATCCTGGGTTGGCTCAAGGAGCTCTGACATTTGCGTCCCGTCCATTTGCATTAAGGTATCGAAGCCGTGGACTTGCGACTGCGAGAAGTGTAACTGGACACCTTGTGTCTGTGTTTCACGTGCTTGGGTATCTATGTTATCCAACTTTTGGCTGTCGAGAACTGTGTTATCCTGAGATTGGCCTGCTGTTGCGGAAAACTGGGAGTCGGGGAAGCTATCAAGACTGGGCATAAACTTCTGTGGAGATCCGCTGGCTGGCTCAGGTTGACTGTCATCCATTGTACCTGCGAATATCTGGGTAAGCCCAAGGCCTGCAGGCCCAGCCGCGGGAACAGGGAGCCCGGGAATAAATGTCTTCCTAGCTGAGCGTAGGACAGACGTAGGAATCTTGGGAGAGGAGTTGGTGGCTGATGGAGATTTGGGGTGGTGAGTCTTAGGCTTTGGAGTTGCTTCAACATCCTCCTCCTCATCATCTGAGACGATATGAACGTGCTTCTTTGGCCGGCGGAATCTCGCAGGCGGGAGCTCGACATCGGCTTCATCATCAGAGGCTACATTTGTAGCATTTGTAGTGGGCTTCGGCGTGCTCTCCACCTCAGACTCCCCATCTTCCTCTGCCTCATCCTCAAATATAGAATTTGTTGTGGGCTTATCCTCATTCTCATTATCGTCGTCGTCATCGTCCATCTCCTCGTCTTCTCCTTCGTTTTCTTCCTCCGATCCGGAAAGCTCAATCTCGGCAGGATCCTCCTCTCCACTGTCCTCAAAGCTATCGTCGTCACTATCGTCCCAAGCTAGAGGATCGTTTTCACCGTTCTTCTTACTCTCTTTACGTGCCTTTTTCGCGTCCTCACGTTCTTTCTGCATGATTTCTTCGACCTCTTGTCGAGCTCGGGCAACAATGTCTTCGACCTGCTCTCTTTCCCGTTGGCGCTCTTCCTCGGTTTGTACGGCGATACCTTTGGATTTGAGAAACTCGAGACGTCGCTCGCGTTCTAACTTAGCCTGTGCTCTAGCGCGCTGCTGTAGAGACATTTGTAATTCAGCAGGGGTCATAGAAGGTTTAGTCCTGCGGCCCCTTGATGTTTCCTTCGGGGGAGAAGAGAGATGAGCTAAGCGGCGCAGCACATCCATAGACTTAGATTCCTGTGTTTTCTTCTCGGGAAGCTTGTCGAATATCACATCCATTCTTCCCTTCTTCGGCTTGGTAATTTCAAGTTCGTCGTCAGAATCTATTGTGACAAGGTTTGCTTGCATTGGAGGTAGCTTGACTCGGATTTGACGCTTTGGTTTACCCACTGTGGCCCCTTCGATCTGAGTGGGCTGGTCGGTGGCGTCAACAGCCTTGCCTTTACCCTTGTCTTTTTTGGCTTGTGCCAAAGCAATTTCTAAGCTAGGCAACTCACCGTCATCCCCGAATACGTCGTCTGGATCTATGCGAGTATTCGGTGCTGCAGGTGTAGCAGGATGGGTTTCTATGACCTTCGGAGCAAGAGGTGGAGAACTAGGTGGAGTTCCAGCATCTACCATATCAACATCCGTCTGTTGTGTCGAGCCAGGTGTTGTTGGTCTACTTGAGCTTATTGGCTTGGTTTCAGTAGACACTGCCTCAGTCCTGAAATTGAAGCGTTCGAATAGAGAAGCTTTCGTGATCTTTTTCTTCGTCTTCGCTTCGTGAGCAAGTTGCATGCTTCGACTTAATCGTTGCGTTTCGCGGTTCATCTCTTCTAAAGCCTTTTTGCTAGCCTTGCGAGCGGGACGGGAAACTTCCTGGGTGAGTTTGCGACCACCATCATCGTCTGTGACATCAGATACATCGTCGATATCCGATTCGGTAGGGATTTGTTGGCCTATTCGCTCGGCATGCTCATTTCGCTTGCGCTCTTCTTCAGCTTCCCTGGCAAGTCTCTCTTGCCGCTTCCTGGCTACTAAGGCTAGGAAGCGTTCACTCTTCCCTAAGTTTTCCGGCAACTCATCATCTGTGTCGGATTCTGCTCTGGCTCCAGGTTGCCGGTGTACCATTGGTGTCTCCGGGGCTGGTGTAACAAAGAGGCCTGGTGAGGAGGGTATTTCGGCATCTGCTGTAACTTCTGGGGTAGAGCTTCGAATGGGCCTAGCCAGACGCCTACGTGGTAGAGTAGCGACATCTTCATCGTCATCATCGTCTGCATTTGCCGCTTCCCTACTTTCCTCGTTGCGATTCGCCGAGGCAGTGTGTGATGGTGTTGGTTCAATTGAGCTTCTGTGTGTGGTGTTATTTGTCGTATCTACGTCCTCTGCTCTCATTCGCGCAGCGAGCCGTCCTCGGGGTCGAACAATCTCTTCTTCATCATCACTATCTTCCTCTGCATTTGGCAGGGTTTGTACTTTGGTATTCGCAATAATGTCCTTATTAGTAGACTTGGACAAAGTGTTTGCGTCTATCGCAGGGCTAGATTCGTCATCTGAATCCGCATCATTTACGGTGGCTAATAGGGCCTTGATCTTAGACCGAGGCGATAATTGCGGTGACGTAGGGGCAGATACGCCCTCGGCCGGCGATGGTGACCGAGTAGATGCCATTTGAAATAACAATGCCTGAACAATGAGATGCAGTTGATGATAAATGATAAAATAATCTCAAAAAGACATTATATCGAGAATTAAGAATATAATGGTAAGTTTGATAATGTAACTAACTTGTGTTTGTATGTTAGATGGAAGTTGTAAGTGGGGGCTGGAGGGTTTAATTACTTTCATACTGTAGCTCCCCCCTTGTACGCGCTTTGATAAAACGCGTCTTTCGCGTCGAATTTCGCGGTCCATTTACAAATAGATATGCAGTAATCCGTGTATATGTGGGGCTTTCGAATCGCGAAACGGTTGGCTTCAGTTGTGACATTAATACCCTATTTTCACATATTCGGATTGCTGAATTTATTATTTTTCGGCTTCCCGTGTTTTGGGCCAATCGTACCTACGTACCTACCTAACCTAGGTACCTATATACTATTACAGGCCACATTATTGTCTCCA